AAACATCCCTCCTCTTCTCTCTCTCTCCACCCCCCCCCCCAGCGAGCTGCGCTTCTCTTCTCCGCGTTGTGGGTCCTGAGTCTTGGGATCCTGAGCGGGAAGAGGGATAAGCGAAAGCCCGTCGGCCCCTCCTTCTTGTTTGTCTGGCTCTTCTTTCCATCACGAGATCGGATGGAGCAGATTGGGAAAAGCCCCCCCCCTCTCAAGACAGCCACTTCGCCTTCTCAAAAGAGTTTGCGGCTCCCTCTCGGTCGGTGCTTTTCCCCCCTGCTAAATCTGAGGGCGGGGGGCGTTCAGAAGACGTGGCATCCTCCCCACGACCATTCACACTCTCTTTTTAAAGAGCAGCTGGTTACGTTTCTCATACTAATTTTGTTCATTAGTGAACCTCCCCTCCTGCTTATCCCTGTTTTCATGCTCCTGGATTCCTTTTGCAGCTATGCTTTCTTTCATCTCCCCCCCCCTTTCCCCTGCCCTGCTGTTTTACAAGCAGCTACATTTGTTCAACTTTCTCCTACTGGATATGACAGAAAGCCTGAATCTTGTTTTATGTCTGAAGTATGTTGTGGGGATTTGGCTTCGCTTGTTTCAAACAGGCTGTTTTTTTCCCCTATTAAAATAATCTGAAATGTGTGACTGCTGCTGTAGGAGGGCACTTATCAGGAGTCTAGGTTACTTTCAACTGTGGTTGTGCTTGTTAAAATACAGTAGTGGTCATCTTGGTGATAAACTGAAATGCCGGATTTTAAAGACAGTTTTATATCATAGAAATGTAAGTTAATAGGTCCAAATGATGGATTTGTAACAGAGAACTCTTATTTAATTTGTGTCATGAATAAGAAGGAATTTTCTGCATTTGAATGCTGAAATATTTTGCATATAAAGCTGATTTGCAGTTCAATTCTAGAGACTGTTCTGGTAATAGATTTTGGTAGAGTCAGGTTCAAAGTATAAAATTTTGAAGAAACTCTTTGATGTTTGGTGGTGGTGTTCAAATCTGAGCTTGCTCTTGATTTGTACACCAGATAGATGCAAATTTTTAAAGATCCTAGGAGAGTGAGTAAGGGAAACATAGAGGTCACAGTGGAGGTTATAAGGACAACAGATTGATTATTTGTAGAACATAGATATCTGTGGGGAGAAGGATAACTTCACTGGTTATTTAACATAAGAAAAGCTGAATGCAGATGTGCAAGGTAAATAGAGCAATGGTTTGCTCAGATTTCAAATTGTCCTATGACTGTCGCCTTACAAAGGACAAAATGCATAAAAACACTTCACTGATCAGCAGTGTAAAAGTCCGTAGATAGACCTTGTCTGTGCTCCTCCTTTAGAAAAAGGTAAATTGCCAAACAATCAATTTTTAATCTTGAATCTAAATGACTTATGTGACATGCAGTTTTATGTTTGATTCTTATTTGCTTATTAGTGGTTTTGGATGTCAGTTTTTGTCAGAATTGTGGCTTATGTAATATTCTAACAAGGAACTCGTTATGGACAAGTAAAAAATCCGATGCTCAGGTAGAGTGCCTCTTATTTTTCGTCATACTTTTAGTAGATGTTTTACAGCATGTGTGAGAATATTGTAAGTGTTCTTGGTGCCTTTCCACATTCCTCTGGAAGGATATTTCCACTCATTTGGGTTCTTCAGCATCTGCTGAAGTCAACAGAAAAATAATATAGCTTAATTAAAAAGTACTGGTTGTAGCTGCATCCCAAAATTTGTTGGCCAACATACAAACATACAGGACAGGGTAGGGAATCTGTACCGCCACACACACCCCTTGTTAGATACAGCTTCAAATATCTTTGACCATAGGCTATAACATCTGTGGTAGATGGGGGTTAATGTCAGTGGCTGAAATCCTGTAGAAGTGGGCCTTCTCTAGTTGTAGCTTACTTTAGCATGTTAAGTTAAAGGAGGTCCATTTGAATCACAAGAAGGTGTGGAGGAGTTGACTTGACAAATCCCCACAGAATCAGTGGGCCTGCTCTACCGCAGTTTGCTACACTAAGCGGCAGGATTACCTGGGGGAAGACAGATTCTTACCTTAGGATGTAAAACTAACAGTATCTCAGTTGGAAGATAAGCAAATAGTAGATATTTTGGAACATTTAGGATAACTATTTAGGATTTGAATAATAGATGGAATTAACAAAGAGTGATGAACTTTTTAATGCAGCCCTGTAGTTACAAAGAGCACTGCATGAAGAGTTATCTTTCTGAATGCCGCTGAATAGAGGCCAAAAGGAAGAGTGAAAATCTCCTGCAAATTTTCAGTTTTTGACCTTGACGTAGGGACCTGATTTTGGACACAGGCTCCCAACCACTATGGCAATTGCAGTAGTGGCTCCTGCCTCTGGGAAGGTGTGTTGTGGGTGTGGCAGTGACTGATAGAAGGACAGTATGTGGATGTTCTGGATTCACAGCCTTGAATTCATGTGGGAGAGAATGTAGATCACTCCTAAAATGCACTCCTTTTTCTTTCAGTAGAAGGGGCTGTTGTCCCAGTATAATAAAATAACCTGGAAAGCGAACCAAAACATCCCCTTTGATACTTTTCCTACTGGAAAAATCCTGGTAAAGGTTTAGGGTAGGTTGATCCTCCAAGACTAGAGTGCTTTGTTTTAGGATTTCCTTACATTAGTCTGAAGTTCCAAACATGCTTACTAGAGAATAAGGTAAAGGTAAAGGTTCCCCTTGACCATTTTTGTCCAGTCGTGTCCGACTCTAGGGGGCGGCGCTCATCCCGCTCTTCAAGCCATAGAGCCAGCGTTTGTCCGAAGACAATCTTTCCGTGGTCACATGGCCAGTGTGATTTAGACACGGAACGCTGTTTACCTTCCCACCGAGATGGTACCTATTTATCTACTCGCATTTGCATGCTTTCGAACCGCTAGGTTGGCGGGAGCTGGGACAAGCGACAGGCGCTCACTCCGTTGCATGGATTCGATCTTACGACTGCTTGGTCTTCTGACCCTGCAGCACAGGCTTCTGCGGTTTAGCCCACAGCGCCACCACGTCCCTACTAGAGAATAAGCTTCACTGAACACAGTGACATTCCCTTCTGAGATAATATGCATTGGATTGTTTTTTAGATTTGTAAACATTCTGTTCTTCATTTTTTCAGTGTTAAATTATGGATATAACTATCAAAGTCTAATATAGGGACATCTGGTTGTTGTAAATGTATTTCTTCTTCCTATAAACACAGTTTAAGATACTAAGTCTTAATGAAATCCAATATGTTCTTCTTATAAAACTTGTTAAAAAGAAACCTTACAAGATGTTTGCTTATCTGCCTAAGCATACCTGGTTTAGTAATTGTCACTTAAAGCAGTGCTCTCCAACCTTTTTACTAGTGCGGACCAGCGGAGTCTCTGAGGGAGGTGGGGTGGCCCTTTGTGCTTTCCCTCATGAATGTATGTGCGTTCCCTCACCGCTTTGCGCATGCGCAGGAGCACCTACCCACCCACAGCGGCGCAAGCCTGGGAGTCTTTAATTTAAATTTTATTTTACCAGTTTTTGCCCACCCCCCTACCCCCGTCGCCACCGCTGCTGGTAGGAGGAGAACACCCAGGCCTTACCCTTCCTCCTGGCTCTTCTCCAGCCCCTCACCCCCATCGCCGCTGCTGCTGCCGGGAGGAGAGCACTCAGGCCTTGCCCTGCCTCCCAGCTCTGCCCCACCCCAGTTGCCGCCGCTGGGCTGCAAAGGCAGACCTCCCCCCCCACGCACTCCCCTCCCCACAGCTGCTTTGCGCACACGGGGGCTTGCATGAAGGGGTGAGAGAATGCTCATGCTGGCGCTGAGACGCATGCTTGCAAAGCAGCTGTGGGGAGGGGAGTGCGTGCGGGGGGAGGTCTGCCTTCACGGCCCTGTCAGGCTCAAGCCACGGACCGGCAATGGGCCGCGGACTGGGGGTTGGGAACCTCTAACTTAAAGTAAAAAACCTATCACATTGTTTCATTGAATCAGTTGTCTGAAGGCAAGTTCTTACCACAGTCAAGTACAGTGATGTCTCTCATTACGAATGCTCAGTTTGATGACGAAATCGCTTTACGTCAATGTTTTTGTGATCGCAGAAGCGATCGCAAAACGATGTTCCCTATGCGGGAATTTTGCTTTGCGATGATCGGTCCCCTGTTTCGGTAACCGATCATCACAATGCAATGATTTTTGCACAGCTGATTGGCGGTTTCAAAATGGCTGCCGGGTTAAAAAAAATGGCTGCCCACTGTTTTCTGGCACGGATTCCTCGCTACACGGGCAGAGAAAATGGCCGTGCTATGGAGGATCTTCACTGGACGGTGAGTTTGAAGCCCCTAGGAATGCATTAATCGGGTTTTAGTGCGTTTGTATGGGCTTTTTAAAATCGCATGACGACGTTTTTGTTTTACAATGATTTTCGCAGAACTAATTAACGTCGTCATGCGAGGCACCACTGTAGATAACTTCTTACTGTCCTGTATTGTGGTTCAAATTCTTAATTAAGTGGCATTTTTTCACAGGAGACTTTTACTTAGTACTGCCAAAATCCTTTTTGTCCTGTGCAATGTAAGTAGGCAATAATGTAAACAAGCTTACTTGTGTTACCAGCTGGCTGTCATACTCCTATTTAGAGATGGGCATAAATTACCAGTTTGGCAGTTCATGCTGGTTCA